CAAGTCTTATGCTTTCTTCACTACTTACCAAGGCATATGCTTGAGACAATGAGACACTATCATTGGATAAAATATTTTGCTTTGTAATGTCATACTCTGGATTTAGCCCTGTCAAGAACTCAAACACCCTGTTTCTCTCAACCAGTTTTCTGTAGGTTTTAGCATCCTTAGTGGTGTCCCAGGCTACAACTTCTATCAAATATATTTCTTGCCATAAAGACTTCAGTGTTGAGAAGTATACAACTAATGGTTTCTCCCCCTGTCTCAAATTCTTCATATCACTCCTCAACTTGTAAACCCTGACCACATTTAACTTTTGGGAATATGTTTCAGCAACACTATCCCAAATTTCCTTTGCTGAATTCATCCACAAATAGTGCTAACTAATCTGTGGTTGCATTGAGTTCACAAGCCATCCAATAACAGTATAATTTTCTTGCATCCACTTTTCATATGATGGACCATCTTTCGGAGGAGCCTCTTTGCTCCCGGAGATAAAACCCCATTTGCCTCTACTACAAATATGATTTTTTACTGATTGTGACCAAGCTAGATAATTAGTTCCATCCAGCTTGACTATGGTCATAGCCAGTAGAGAGTCTACAGAGGCTCCCGAAACTTGTCCGGATTCAGCAACATGCTTGTTTTCAAAGTCTGAGGAGTTCATCTTCTTAAATACTTCAAAAATGACTTTAAACAACTTCGAATAACAACAAATGAAGACAGAACAAAAACTGTGTTGTGAGGCAACCTCTATGCAGTCGTACCAATAACCTGCGTCACACCCGGAAGCTGGGAGAAACAGAGAAAACTCAGCCGCTCCTTGTAGACTTCACAGAACACCAATCCACTTGATTCAACCTTCAAGAAGAAGAATGAGAAGGCCTTTAGTCACTGAGCATCCAGGTCAAACTCCCTGTGGGGCCCGCAATTAGATTTCTCCAGAAAATTAGGGTTTTGGGCAACACACTTGAATCTGTCAAGAGGACGACAAAACCAGTCCCCTTCTCTCCAGAAACCACTAACAACTGGGCTGAAATARGTTTCTTTAACTATTCATACGATTCAGTTCTCCATACACATTGTGTATGGGAAAAAAGGTGAAAAAAAGGGAAAAACAAGCCTGCTCTAATACCAAGAAGAAAAACAGCCTTTTGAGAAGAAAGGACTGTTTAGAAAGTTGCAAAAATTCAAACGAAAGTAGTAGAAATCAGAGTTCAAGAGGAGAGAAGAAGAAGAAGGTGTCGACAACTTGGGTTCAGAGAGAGATTTTCAAACATAATCTCTTCTCTTACTCCCTTAATTCTATTTCATTAAGTTAAACTTTAGTAATTTACAGAGAAGCCCCTAGTTGGGCAGAAAATTAAAAAGACATAACATAAGAAAGAATAAAGCCCAGATTAARGCCCATTAYARMAAAGAACATAAAAGATAAAAAAGGATAAACAGCCTATGGGCCATTCAGCCCATCTTCTCTACAATTACAACATGTGGTCCCTATGGTTTTTAAACTTCAGTTGATGTTAACAGAATATGCATGTCTAGATTGTTCAAAAAATCGAAGCTCTTCCGCAAAAAACCTAAAAGGATTCCACCTGCATTGAGATGCAGATGCATATGAACTGAATATCAATGTGTGTTGATTGATAAATATATAACTGTTGATAATCATTATTTAATAAAATAGCCCATTATTTGACAAATGTCAATCAAAACATATCTAATTGTACTGAGTACTGACAATGGCCAATATACATGTAGACATTGATATATAAAATCATCTATCTATTTAAAGAGTGCAAGTGCAACAATTTAGCACGAAGATAATGTATAGATAAGATTTTGCAGTTCATATAACCAAGAAGTCAAAATACAGGACATCCTCAATACCTGGTATCAGCAAGATAGTTATTGCAATCCCAGAAACAAAAGCAAATTTTACTTGTGTATATAAAAGACATAGTGCCACTCCAATTTGTAAAGGTAAGCTGAAACATGGGGAAGAACATTAGAATAGCCCAAACAGTTAAATGCAAAAACTATCCAAATTAACATGTGTCTACTACACATAGGACTAAGGTTCAAAATGTCAATGTCAGTGGAAATATCAGTCATGCAAATTACAAGAACCATGTTGGGAACATTGTATCGGTATATTGTAAAAATTAAAAACATGGTTGAAACATTGTAGAATACGCAAAAATATACAATTCTATTTTTATGTAATGTAAAACTGCATAGGAAGACCCTTTTAAATTATTATCTTGTTGCAAATCATCAAACAAAGCTAAGAAACTAAAGTTTGTTGGTAAAATAATATGTTATTCGTGAGTTTTGGGCTGATATTACTTGTTTTTATTTACATAACATAGTTAGGGAATTTTTGGGCCTTAGGCCCATTAGTTTAGTTTTAAGTTAAGAGTGCTTATTCAGTTCTTACAAGTAGCCAACTAACTTAGGCCCATTCTCTTCTATGTCTCTTCTCTTTGTTTCTCAGCTGAAACCTTTTCTTCTCTTTCTTTTCTTCTTTCTTTTACAGGTTTTATATCAAAACAGGTCATCCAAACTTTTCTACTTGGTGTCAGAGCAAGTTTAAAGATTTTTTGAGCTGCTCCATCATGCATCCCTAGATCAGCCGATTGCATGATGAGGTAAAGGGCTGATCGAAGACTTCAGATAAGCCTAGCTTTTGGATTTTTTTTTTGGTGGATTTGCAATCCTTTGTAGCTGGTCTAGGGTTTAACACCAAAATCAGGAAGAACTGGAGAAAGGGGGAGAGTCCTGATTTAGTAGGACTCTTCAATTTTGACCTAAGAAGTAGAGCTCTAGTTTTCTAGGGTTCCTTGAGGATTTCTGAAGGGGGCAGTTCAAATCCTAACCTTTCTGGAGGTCTCTAGAGGGAGCAGCAACCTCTTCTCTCTCTTCTCTCACTCCCACGGAAAAGAAAATCTTTGGAGGGAGGGGCTTCTAGGGTACCAGGAAGGTGTTTGAAGTTTCTAAAGGAGATAAATACCTTTCTTTTCATCTCAAATTGATTTCCTAATCTATTTTGAGAGTTATGGAGGGCTGTGGAGTTGAAAACAAATTTGCAGGTGAATGGGATCTAGGGGAGGAGGTGTTGTAGACCTCTTCAAGAACAGGACCATCACTATAGTTAAGTTGGATGGTACAAACTACATAGAATGGTCACAATCTGCAAAGATAGCCATTGGTGCTCGTGGGAAATTGGGGTATGTCACCAGCGAGGAAAAGAAACTTGAAACTAACCACTCCCGATGGGTACAGGAAAACTACATGGTGATGACTTAGCTGTGCAATTCCATGTTACCCCATATAAGTAAGAACTTTTTATGGGCTAACACGACTAAGGAGATTTGGGACGGAGTAGTAGAAACCTATACACAGAATGAGAATTGTTGAAATAGTTTATTTTATTTCTTGTCTTTTAGTCTTGTCTTGGTAGGGTCTGTTTGGTTGATTAATGTCTTTTTTATTTTTCTAATTATTGTACTTCACTTACAGAGGGGCACAAGGGTCTTTTCCCCTTTTATTTTAGTCGCCCTATATATACTAATAGAAGCTGGCGCCGCCAGCATTGTTCCATTGCCAATCTCTTCTCTTCTCTTCTCTTTCTCTTATTTCTAGCCGACCACACTATCATGAAGAATGTTGCTAAAGCCTACCAGTTGAGAAACCAGGTGATTGCTACTAGGCAGGGAGATAAGTCTGTTGCTATTTATTTTTCAGCCCGCAAAACCTTATGGTAGAAGATAGACCATCTGGAGATTGTAGTTTGGGAAAGTAGCAAAGATGCAACAACTTATCAGAAGCTGGTAGAGAAGAATAGGGTTTTTGAGTTTTTAGCTAGACTTAACCCTAAGTATAACATTGCACGACAGCATATTCTTTCCCAAGACAGTGTAACTCTCTCAGGAATATGCCTTTGTATTTGGAGAGGAGAGTAGGAGGAATGTGATGATAAGGAAACCATGCGCTGAGCAGTCAGCTATGGTTAGCACAGTGAAGCGTAAATCGAGTGGGGACAAGGGGGAAATGAACTGAGGAAGGAGGACAAGAAGGATCTGATCTGTGACTACTATAAGAAACCTAGACATACCAGAGATACCTACTGGAAGCTTTACTCACACCTTGTATCGAGCCAACTCAGAAACAAGAAGAGAAATGTGAATATGGCAATGACTGGTCATTTATCAGGACCACCTACTACAACTTCTCTAGAGATATGGGTAGTTTCTAAATCAAAGGGATATAACCAATTCTAACTCATTATCAGGTGGACAGCAAGGTGCAGGTGGATCAGGAGGTAGCCATTGTACTTCGTTTGCACATATAGGTAGTTCACATGCCACTGCAAATTATGTATCCACTATAGGTAAGGGGGGACCTCCTTGGATTATAGACTCATGAGCCTCAGAACATATGACCAACATTTCCACCATTTTCTCCTCATACCACCTCTGCTCTGGTAGAGATAGAGTTTCCACAGCAGATGGATTACATGTTCCCATTGTTGGGAAAGGGTCTGTCAGGATGACTGATACCATTACCCAACCTTCTATCCTTCATGTTCCTAGACTGAGCACTAATATTTTATCTGTTAGTAGCTTGACAAAGAATTTGAACTATTCATAATTTTTTCTCCTAGTCATTGTATTTTGTAGGATCTAGAATCAAACAGGACGATTGGGAATGGTCATGAGGTGAATAGAATCTATCTTCTTGATGTGCTTCCCAGTCATCAGAGTCATCATGTCAGTAGGAGCATTGAGTCAAAGTCAGTGGGTCAGATTATGCTTTGGCATAATCGGTTAGGGCATTTGTCTTTTTCTTCTTTGCATTTTTTTGTTTCCCAAATTGTTTGAGTCTGTTAGTTGGTCCAACTTGGAGTGAGAGGGTTGTCAACTTGGAAAGCATTGTAGACATTCCTTTAAATCAAGTAATAAAAGATGTTCTTCTATTTTTTATATTGTTCATACTGATGTGTAGGGCCATACCATGTTTCCTCTATGGGTGGCTATCGGTATTTTCTTCTGTTTGCGGATGATTATTCCCGATACTCTTGGATATATTTGATGAGGTCCCATGATGAGGTATTGTCTTTGGTTCAACAATTCCATCAGATGGTGCTGACGCAGTTTGGGGTACGAGTGAAAGTGTTTAGACCAGACAATGCTAGGGAATGCTTTGAAAAAAACCTAGCATCATACCTATTGGAGCATGGAGTAGTCCATCAAAGCAGTTTATATACACTCCACAACAAAATGGTGTAGCAGAAAGTAAGAACAAACATATTGTGGAAGTAGAAAGAAGCATGATGTTGAGCTCTACTATTCCAGTTCATTTTTGGTGTGATTCAATTCTTACAACAGCTTCTTGATTAATCGGGTGAATTGTGCCAACAATCCAGTGCACCATGGCAAGACAAAACATATTGAAGTCAACAAACACTCTGTTCAAGAAAGAATTGTCTTTGGTGAATTGTGTATACCTTACACTCCTTTAAAGTTGCATTTGACCAACATTCTCACTAAGGGGCTAATATCAGTGAAGTTCCATGGACTACTTGGCAAGCTAGGCATGAAAGATATCTATACACAGCTTGAGGGGGACTGTTGTGATATATGGCCAACACATGTGAACTGTTAAGTGTTTTATGTATGTCTTTTATTAGTATTAGTTATTAGGCCCTGTAGAGAACATTGATGTGGGCCCCACAGCTGTGGTACAACTCTGTCCGTAGGGTAGAATGTATCTAGTCACAGCTGTGGTTATTTTGTTGTTCTGTTATTTCTAGTTTCAGTTTTATATTGGTTGTTATTTGTTAGCAGTTATGATGTAAACACCAAGGGCAGATATGTCCTTTCATGTAACTAGCA